GTTGCCAGATATTTGAGGTTGCTTTCATGTTATATTTTATGAAAGATATTTTGGGAATCACATATAATCTTAATATATCGCTCCAGATAAGGAGCAGGATATTGCTAATGCCATGATACTTATTGAAGCAACAAAAAAAAAGACTTCAAGAGTTGGTGGATGGGATCCACTTAAAGATAATGTATCTATATTTTGTATCAAGCATGATTTTCTAATATTTTGAATGAGTCATATGCTAACTCTGGAAGATCATGATGTAAACTTGTTGATCATACAACTTTGCATCATTATCGTGTGGATGTGTTTTATAATATTATTGATTGGCAACTTCAAGAACTTAACAACTGTTTTAATAAGGTGACAAGTGATTTGTTTCATGGAGTAGCTTGCCTGAATTCAGTTGATTCATTATCTAGTTTTGACATCAGGAAGACAGTGAGAATGACTAAATTATATCCCGATGACTTTGATGAATTTAAATTAGGTGCCCTTGAGAATCAACTTGCTAATGTATTGTTGATGTATGTGATATTAATCAAGGGTTCTCCAATGTTTACCTCGAATAATGTAAGTAACAATTAAAGATAATTTGTGATTTTAAAGATATGTGATATATTCTAATACTAGTGATTACACAAGTAATATTAAGCTTAAGTGAGAAGAAAAGGTGAACCAAATCAGTGTTGTTGGAGCAATAGGGGCCTCGAGCTCGATTGTCCCAGGGACCTCGAGGTCAGCTTAGAACAATGAAGTATGAGCAATAAAGTAAAGACAATAAATCTGAAGAATAATTGTTGAGCACGTTAAACAAGAAAGGCAAAGCAAATGTTCTATTGCAGAGAATAATATTAGATGATCCTTACAAAAATGATTGGGTTCCCCTTTATATAGGAGGAGAAAACTCTAATATAGTACATTCCTAATTGTAATAAAGAATTCTATTGGTACAGGTGTACAACAACCTAGTACTGACATGTACCATTTCGTACAAATCTTATCCTTTAATTTATACCCTGGTCTACGTGCCCTTGAGAAATTCGCGCTCTTTCTTGATTGACTTCGAAATCGTGCTGCCCTTGATGTAGGTCGTGCCAGGCCTTCGATCAGCTTCCTCGAGGTATGCATCCCTTAGCCGGATCTGACCTCCACTTTGAGTCTCTCGGACTCGGACCCATAGCCTGATTTAAGACTTCGAAATCATGCTCCTCGATTTTGACCGTATACAGATAGTCCCCACGTTTCTTAGAATGAAATGATATGAACGATTTGAACCTCGAGTTTCCCGAACCTCAAGTGATGACGTCATCCTTGTGATGCCAACGTTCGAACTGACCGCAACGTCCCATCGGCCCACTTCCCCAAAAACATTAAATGCACGCCAGTATTGGTCAGCCATTAATGCCACCGAACCATCGCTGGCCTTCTATAAATATGAGGCGTCTTCCCTTAGTAAAGAACTTTACCCTTTCTTCAATCTTTTCCAATCTTCATCTCTTTCTTCAATCACTCGCTTCCTTCGCTTCTTTAAACGCCGGAAAAACACCAAGCTCTTGCCGAAAACACTACATCCTTGTGCACCTACATTCCTTAGCTTACAACCATGGCCAAAACTTCCAAGACGGTCCCTAAAAAAGATAAAGCATCATCTTCCTCTGCCTCCCGGCCGGCCAAACCGGTGGTGCCGCCAACACTTGAAGAAATCACCCCTAGTGACTGCATCATCAAGAAGGACTTTGGTATCGAGAATCCTACTAATGTCGAAAGCGGATGCGAGCATGTACCCCGATACATTAGCCTGGTAACGAAGCTGCTCACCAAGGAAGTAAAGAAGGATTGTCGGTGGGGAGATGAAGTTGAGGTCCAGATCCCGAGGCCTGACGAAAGCATAACTACCCATAAGGAGGGGGTTTTGAGTGTTTACACTTACCCCTTCACATTGAGCCCCCTCGATCCGGTGGTGATCGACTTCTGCAAGACGTACGAAGTCACCTTCGGTCAAATCCACCCTTCATTCTGGCGTATCGTGATCATGCTGTGATATTTCTCTGAAAAGGTCGAGGGTTTGGAATTCACCCTTAGCCACCTAATGCGGTTGTATCGGCCCCAGTTATTTTGAGGGCTCATCAAGCTGCAGCGCCGAACAACGAAATCCTTCTTCGTCAACACCGAAAAATCCAAAGATCGGGATTAGATGAACCGATTTTTTAGAGTAAAGACTTCAGACATAATCCCCAAGGAAAAAATGTCATTACCGGAGAGGTGGAACTTCAGTCGTAAATGGAGTCCATATATTTTTTTTGTATCTATTCATGTTCTTTCATATTCCATAACACTCTTATCCTTCTTTTGGCAGCCAATGCTTGGGCGCCCCTAGCAGTGCCCGACCTCGAGGATTGGTCAGAAAATTAGCTGCCACTTCGACGAGCGTAAGTGGCGAGAATTAGCAAAGGGCCAATGGGAGGCCAAGAACCACGGTGAGTGCTCTTCTATAGTTTCAACACACTTTTGGCGGCGTTTTTACTTACTCATGCTTGCCCGTGCAGGCCTTGGAGACGCGTCCGAAATGAGGCCGGCCCTGCCTGGGGAAGAAACCAAACCTTCAAACCCGAAGTCTGAGAAGGACAAGAAGAGAAAAAGGGGCTCAAAACCCAAAGACCATCAGGACAAGAGAACCCCCGCTCGAAGGCTGCGGAAAAGGTATGCTCAAACGGGCACAGGCTCGGCCCAAGACTTCCTGAATGATGATGAAGGGTCGGCATTGGTGACTCGAGCTAGAAAACCAGTCTAGGTCGCCGAGCCTTCCGAACTAGACACATCATCCCGTGGTGAGGATGCTCCGAAGGGAGAAACGGGCAAGGCCCCTGCATCTCCGAAGGTCGAGATTGACCCTCTGCCTTTAACAACTATACCGGAGGGGGTTGATGCCGAGACCCCCAATCACGAAAATGGGTGATGATAGGATATAATTACGTATTTTAATCGATTATTACACTCTAATTTACTGCACTTTAGTTGAGTTTGCGCTTTAATCGCTAGTGTTTTGCACTAACAATGTGTTTTATGCCTTGTAGGAGTGATTTCGAGCTATATAGATGTTATGGAATGAATTTAAGTGATTTGAAGCTTTGAAGTCTGAGTAAAAGCTCAAGGAATTAAGTCGGGATCGTGTTCGGGGGTCAAATTTGATAGTTGAGAACAAACGAAGACTCGATGAGGCATATTGCACACTGTCTAGTAAACTGGAAATAACTTTCTTCTCCGAACTCCTTTTGGGCTATATAATATATGGTTGGAAAGATAATTCAAAGGACAAACTTTCATGTTTTACATTTTTCCAAATTCTGAACAAAACAGGATGAAAAACGCGGTCGAAACCGCGACCGCGGAACTGACCGCGGCAGAAAATCAGAGAGCTTGTCTGGCCGCGGTCCTACCGCGTTTTGGCCACGGCCGTGCCGCTCCAGGCATAAAAAAGAAGTCCTATTTCGTCCGGGACAAGGTTATTTCGGCCCTACACTATTCCAACTTGTATAAAAGGGGTCCTAAACCTATTTTGAAGAGAGGGGGACATACTTTTGACATAATTTAGACCTAAGGAGGCTAAGGAGACCGGAGATTCGACCTAAGGAGTCAAGAACACAATAGGAGCAAGGCGCGGAATTCTTCAACGAGTTTTTCCTTCTTCTTCCTATTTTTTAATTGTTGGCTATGATTTTTAGTATTGTAGTTTTACATACTATTATGAATAGCTAATTTGTTTTCTAGGGTTTTGATGGAACCTTTTGGGGATAAATTGGTTGTTATATTAATATAGTTTTGAATTGGTTGTTTATCTCTATTTGTTCAACTACGTTTTGATTGTGGTTAATTGAAAGGATCCTCAATTAGTCGTTCCTATTTGTTATGTATCTGCTTGAGAGAGAGTGCATATTTAGGTAGTTGTTTGAACAACATCACTCCCGGAGTATAGGCGAGAGTCATAACCGAGGGTTTAGAGGTTGGATTAGAGATAACGATACCTCGGGTGCGATCTAAGTGAACTGTAATATGAATCTAGCTAGCGTAGCTTGAGAGAGTGCGTCTAGTAAATTATCATAATTGCTTGAGAGAGATTTATGATAGCTGGAGAGTTCATGATTGATAGAGGCAACTAAGTCAAAGCTATAAGAAACATACAACTAATGAAATCAACAATTGGGGAAATCATAACTCTAGACCTCCTTAATTTAGTCTCCAAACCCTTTGTCTCGTTATTTGATAATTTTATCGCTTTCTACTATTTGCTAGTTAGTTAGTTAGAAATAAAAATCTTAATATTATAATTTAGAAATTGTTCAAACTTGTCTTCTTTGCAATATTGAACAATTACAGCGAAACCTTAGTTCTCTGTGGGATTCGACTCCAGACTTTTAGACCAGATTATATTTGCAGCGACCGCTTATCCTTCTTAGGACTAGAGTTGGGCGTGATCAACGGGTCACTCCCTTTCGTTGCCAACTTATTCTGAGGGGGCAATTGAAGAAGCCAGCGCTATGCCGAAGCCCGGCCCAAATAAGGTTATCGAAGATGATCCTTTTTAGGGCTGCTATGCCGGGATCGAGGATGCCAACGACTTTAATGATGCATCCTCTCTTTTCGAAGAGGCTCAACGTCTCCTTATCCGGGTAAGGACCTGCCCTTTCTATTGCAAGTTTTTCTCTCCTTATGTTCTTTCGACTGATATGTTTTTGTTGCATGCATAGGCCGTTGCAAAGTTTAGAACCGAGATGAGCCAATGTGAGACTGAGCTCAAGAAGGTTTCAGGCGAAGAGAAGGCCTTGAGGATCCTCTATAGTTAGAGAGAAGAGGAGCTTAAGGATCTCCGAACAGCATCGGCTAAAGCTCAAAAAATCGAGTCCGAGCTAGACGAGCAGGTAACAGCGATTTTAAAACATTTCGGCCTTTTTGGCCCTACTTCGGAGGCTAACACTTCGATATCTCAGCTGCAGCAAAAGCTTGATATGATTGGGCAGCTCCGAGTCGAGGTAGATCGAGTTCGAGCTGATTGCCAACAGTGGAAGAAGAATATGGATCAACTTGCTACTGAAAAGGAAGATGTTAAGGCCCAACTAGCCTTGGCTAAAGCTCAGCTCCGAGGTGCTAAAGCGAAGGGCTTGGCTCAGGCCAGGAAAGTTGAGGGGCTGGAGGCCGAACTGGCTAAAGCCCGTACCGAAGCTGCACAGGCTAAGGCTGAAGCTGCACAAGCTAAAGTCGAAGCTGAGAAGACTAAGGTTGCGGCTGATAAATCCATTACTATATATATGAGAGAAGCCGCAGCCGTTCAAGCAGAGTTGACGGAGGCCTCCGATCGAACAAGACGGAGCAATGAATTGGCTGAGTGCCGAGCCCGAAGGGAGACTCTCGAGGAAATCCATGCTCGGGGGTTCGACCTTGCCGAGGAGATAGCCGAAGCACAGGCGCGGGAAACCGATGCTAGGTTTCTTGTCTCCTCCAACGATGAGGACATGGTGAGTGGCTCCGGGGATGGGGAAAGTGAGGAAGATTCTCCCGAATGGGAAGAGGCTCCCGAAGATAAAGCCCCTGAAGATGATGCACCCGGGGACATGGCCTCGAAAATAGATTAGGTTCCTTTTTGTAAAAAGGCCCCTTTGTGGGCATTGTAATATGCTTTGTAAATTTCCCAAATGAATATAAAGTAGATTTTGCTCTGTCCTTGATTTGTGTTGACTTCTATTTTGTCTCCATTTATGAAAAATTCTGACGATTCAAATGTTAAGTTCGGGTAACAGTTAGACTCGTAATAAGCCCTTAGAGTTTAATTGCCCAAGATCATACCCCTTAGGGTTTTAGATGATCCCCAAGTCGAACTTAAAATCAATTTAATGCGAGCTCGGGGTAACGGGTCCTTTTGGGTCCGAGCTAAACGAGAACGGGGTCTCGGACTCCCGTAAGCCTTTGGCCCTATATTTCTTTTTAAGCTGGCCCTTAGGCTTTTGTGTATCAACCTTTAGGCTCTTTTTTAGAATTGGCCCTTAGGCTCTTTAAATTGGGCCGTTTCGGCCTCTAAAATGGCTACATAATTTTTCCCTCATTTTGGCTAAAAGACTTAGTGAAATTTTAGTTATGCCTTAGCATGTGTTTTTGTACCTGTTGGGTTTTTCGAAGGCTCCACGTATCGGAACCTTATTAGACATTTCGTTTGTGTAGACGTAACCGGACACCTCTGAAGGGTTTTCCGAAGGCTGGTGTTATCGAAGCCTTCGGATTATTCAAGGGCTAATTTATCGACGCCCTTGGATATTTCGGGGGCCGAATTTATCGAGGCCCCTTATATTTTGCTTTTGTCGGGGGTAGTCTGACTTAAAAGGTTTTTCAATGTTTGAAGGCCTTTAATTTTATAGCGGAAATTGGACGTCTCCGAATCGCATTATTTTGGCCGTAACCTTTTTGTGACCGTAGTCTTTAGTATGGCCGTAGCCTTCGGGTTTGTCACTTGGACTTGTTTCCCAATAACTTTCCTCACTTGTTCCAAAAGCTAGTCCCCGAGTAAATTGGCCTTGGCCTTCGTTTCGAGGGGGTGCCTCTTTGAGGTCTTATGAATCTGAATTTTTGATGACTCGGATGTATTGACAGTCAGTGACAGTCCCCGGGTATTTCGGGGTACTTTGGCCCTTGAGCCGCTTCCCGTAGGATTGTAAGTGTAGAGCTCGTATGATATACTAAGTGTTTTTTATGTAACCAGAATGCTTCTTTAAATAGTTGATACATGCGTACATGTTTTGCCATCAGGGCTCGACTATTCTATAAGGACACGATTCATTCGATCGTTTGGACCATTACAAAGTTCTCCTATCGAGGCCCTCTTAGGCGCGAAACATCTTTCTCAAAAATATAACCTCCGAGAGTGATGCCCCCCAATATTCGAGGTTGATCGAAAAGAAGCCTTCCAACTTGTTGAATGTTCCTTAGATAGTATATGGGTGCTACCTTGTTAAAAACCTTGCTGGTAAAACTCATTTGGGATAAAACCTGATCTAAGTAAAAAAGAGTGGAACGCATGCTATCAAACCCAAGGCCTTCGAGCTGCAGGATGACTCGATGTCTCTGATCGAACGTCTTCAAGGAGTTAGTTTTAAATACGAAATGGGAAAGGGGAGAGGGCCATACCTCAACAGTAATATCGCTTGAGCATCGATACATTCCAATTGTTTGGTAGTAGCTCGCCTTCCATTGTGCTAAGTTTGTAGGATCCTTTCCCTATGACTCCAAGGACACGGTACGGTCCTTCCCTATTGGGACCTAGCATTCCTTCGTTTGGGTCTCGAGCGTTGAGAGTGACTTTCCTTAGGACTAAGTCCCCTACTTTGAAATATCAAAGGTTCGTCCTTCTGTTGTAATACCTTTCGATCCTTTTTTTCTGCGCGGCCATTCGTTTTAAAGCGGCCTCACACTTTTCATCGAGTAGTTCGAGAGAAGTGTTCTTAGCTTCATGATTTGAGTCCTCGGTGGCATGCTGAAACTTGATGCTAGGTTCCTCGACTTAGACTGGGATCAATGCTTTGGATCCGTATACCAATGAAAATTGGGTCTCCCCAGTGCTCGACTTCAAAGTTGTTCGATATGCCCATAGCACCTTGGGCAATACTTCTCTCCATTTTCCCTTAGCATCATCTAACCTTTTCTTCAAATTTCGAATGATGGTTTTGTTGGTGGACTCTGCCTGACCATTTGCACTTGGGTGGTAAGGTGTTGATAGAATCATTTTGATTTTATGGTCCTCAAAGAATTTTGTCACTTTGCTGCCGATGAGTTGTTTCCCATTGTCACATGTTATTTCTGCGAGTATCCCGAACCGACATATGATGTGGTCCCATATGAAGTTGATGACTTCTTTTTCTCTTACCTTCTCGAAGGCCTGCGCTTCAACCCATTTTGAGAAGTAGTCAGTCATAAATAAAATAAATCTAGCTTTAACTGGCGTCGTTGGTAGGGAGCCGACGATGTTCATCCCCCATTTCATGAATGGCCACAAGGATAGGACCGAGTGGAGATGTTCACCGGGTTGATGGATTATAGGTGCAAATCTCTGGCATTTGTCACACTTTCGAACGAACTCCTTGGTATCCTTTTACATGCTATCCCAAGAATACCCCGCTTTGATCACCTTGCAAACTAGAGAATCTACATTGGAATGGTTCCTACAGGTGCCCTCGTGGATTTCCCGTAGTACATAATCGGTTTCCCCGGGTCCCAAACATACTGCCAGTGGTCTGTCGAAGGTTCTTCTGTACAACGTTCCATTTTCATCGAGTGAGAATCGAGCTGCTTTGGCTCGAAGTGTTCTTGACTCTTTTAAATCCGCAGGGAACTTCCCATGCTTCAAGTAATCGACGTACTTATTCCTCCATTCTCACGTTAAACTTGTTGAATTAATCTCCACATGACCTTCTTCGACCACCGACTTCGATAGCTGGACGACGGCCCCCGGGATGATATCGTCTTCTTCGATCGATGATCCCAAATTTGCAAGTTCATCAGCCTCACTATTCTGTTCTCGAGGTACATGGTCCAGTGTCCATTCCTTGAAGCGCTGCAATGTCATTTGAAGTTTTTCTAAGTACCTTTGAATTCAATCGTCTCGAACCTCGAAGCTTCTGTTTACATGATTTACTACCAAAAGGGAATCACACTTTGCCTCGATGACCTCTGCCCCAAGGCCCTTGGCTAGTTCAAGACCTGCAATCACGGCTTCATACTCGGCCTCATTGTTAGTCAGTTTAGAAGTTTTGATAGATTGTCTGATAACACTGCCCGTAGGAGATTTTAAAACGACGCCGAGCCCGAATCCCTTCACATTCGAGGCACCGTCTGTGAAGGGGTCCAAACCCCCGATGACGTACCCGTTTTTAGCAAGAGTTCCTTCTATACTTTGGGTACGAGGGCAGGCACGAAGTCGGCCACGAAGTCTGCCAAAATTTGAGACTTGATAGCCGTTCGAGGCTGATATTCGATATCATATCCTCCAAGTTCGATGGCCCATTTGGCCAATCTACCCGATAATTCGGGCTTATGCAAAATATTACGCAGCGGGTATGTAGTCAGTACACATATATGATGGCATTGAAAATATGGTGTTAATTTCCTGGATGCGCTTATTAATGCAACAACTAATTTTTCCAAATGTGGGTACCTGGTTTCAGCATCTCCTAGGGTCCAACTCACATAATAGACAGGAAATTGCGTACCTTGCTCTTCTTGAACCAACACGCCACTTACCGCTACCTCGGACACGGACAGATACAAGTAGAGTGTTTCATCCTCATTGGGAGTATGGAGTAGGGGTGGGCTCGAGAGATATTGTTTTAATTCTTCCAAGGCTTGCTGGCACTCCGGGGTCCATGCGAAGTTGTTCCTTTTTTGAGTAAGGAAAAGAAGTGATGGCTTCGATCTGATGACCTCAAGATAAATCGACCTAGGGCAGCTATCCGTCCGGTCAGCCGTTGCACGACTTTCATATTGTTTACCACGGTGATTTCCTCGATGGCTTTGATTTTATCGGGTTTGATCTAGATTCCTTTGTTTGATACCATGAAGCTTGAAAACTTGCCCGAGCCGACTCTAAAAGCGCATTTCTCGGGGTTAAGCTTCATGTTGTACTTTCTAAGGATGTCGAATGTCACCTGTAAATGGGTCAAATGGTCCTCTGCGCGCAGGGACTTAACTAGCATATCATCAATATAAACTTCCATGGATTTGCCTATTTGATGTTCGAACATCTTATTAACTAGACATTGGTATGTGGCTCCTGCATTTTTTAGCCTGAACGGTATTACATTATATTAATACGTACCATACTTTGTGATGAATGGAGTTTTTTCCCTGTCCTCTAGGTTCATTTGAATTTGGTTGTATCTAGAGTAGGCGTTGAGAAAGGTAAGGATCTCATGGCCGGTCGTAGCATCGATCAAGCGATCGATGTTGGACAATGGGAAAGAATTTTTAGGGCATGCTTTGTTCAAATCTTTGTAATCTACACACATTCTAAGTTTATTCCCTTTTTAGGGACTACTACTACGTTAGCCAGCCATTCGGGATACTTTACTTCCCTGATGGATCCTATTTTGAGAAGTTTGGTTACCTCTTCTTTGATGAATGCATGCTTTACCTCGGACTGTGGTCTCCTCTTTTGCTTCACCAGCTTAAATCTGGGATCGACACTAAGTCGATGGGTAGTTATCTCCGGTGGAATCCCTATCATATCTAAGTGGGACCAAGCGAAGCAATCATAATTATCGATGAGAAACTAAATAAGGTTTTTCCTGAGTACGGGGGTTAACCCCGTCCCCAGGTGTACCTTTCATTCTGGAAGATGCTCGATTAATATGACCTGCTCAAGTTCTTCGATCGTGGATTTTGTCGCATCTGACTCCTCGGGGGCAATGAAGGTTCGGGGGATGAGGAAATCTTCTTCTTCGTCCCCAGCTACCTGTTCATCGAACACTTGTCCCTCGGGCTCAACCGAGGGCACGGGCTGTTATTGCTATTTGGCCACCTGCTCGTCCTTCGATTTTTCCGACGTGGATGGTGCCGATACCGGTGCAAAGTCATGCATTGCAAACATCTC